TTGGGCTTAGGGTTTTGGGTTTTGGGCTTAGGGTTTAGGGGGGCACTTGGTTCTGGGTTCCTAAACAAAGGGTGTTCTAGAGGGGTCAGATTAATTAGTAAGAGCAGCCCCTTCACGTTTTCTTGACGGTATACTATAATATACCCAACAACCCTTATAATCATCAAGGCCCCTTCTTCGCAGAGTTCTGCAAGGGTTTATGAAGGATCGTTTTGCCAGGGTTTTCTGACAGGTTCACGGGGATTTGCATGCCGCAGAGTTTTGAGTCGGCGCAGTGTTGCAAGTGCCTCTTCCAGGTTCTTGTTCAGGAACCTAAATAGTCTTAGAATGGCCATCGCAATAGCGTACGTAAATAGACGGGTGAATACATAAATAGTCATTATATGTAAATGTACACATATATGTACACATATACTCAATGATAACTAGATGTGTAGACGCACATATAGCAAGTGTGTATAATGAATGCTGCCATGACTATGCACAGACTATGTGTTACTTTCCCATCGCGATAGTTCACATTAGTCAGCGAACCTCCGTCTTAGTACTGTTTCTCGCAGAACGAGAGAATTGAATCCCGTAAAGTCATGCACCTCAACGGACTAACGCTGACGATGGCACTGCTGACACAAAGCACGCTGTTCGGAAATATGCCACAAAAACCATGTGCAGATCGCATGGCATGAGGATGAACGAGTTGATTCTGAGAGTGGTTCGCTTATGCTTATCAAGGGATTTTGGTTGACATAGTGCCTCGATTGTTTTGGTGCTTAGCGTCAGTTACCAAAGAGGCCGCAGGCACAACAAGTCTGCTGTTCTTTCCAATGATTATGGAAACTACCACAAAGTTCCTGAAATAAACGAAGAACACCTACAGAGCCCGTCTGCCCTGAACCCCCCGCCCATGTCCTAAACCTTCAACCCCTAAACCCCCCAAGCGCAAATGCCTGCGCCTGCTAAACTCCGTCAACCCCCTCAGTCAGAGCACAAACCCCTTACCACGACCTAGACGATAGAATGTCGTACCTGGTGTTTAGGTAGCTCTTCCATGGCTACAGGAAGAAAGGTAACCAACAACAGATACTATATTTTAGGGCCTACATCCACGTACGGCTTAGGCTCTCAGGATAAACCCTACTCCCTAAACCCTAAA